AAAAAGGGGAAGAAAAAAAAAAAAGGGAAAAAAAAGAAGGAAACCTGCTGGCCAGTTGGCTCGGCTCCCTGTAAACCCCTGCAAGGTGGTGGAGCGGCACAGGGGCGATGGGCAGCTCGGGGCACCTGAAGGGGCTGGACGGCGCCGGCCTCCGCTCCCCTCCACGCTGGCTGGAGATGCTGGACGGGGCTTGGAAATTTGCTGGTTGCCTGCAGATCCTTGGGGAGAATGCAGGAGAAATGTTGGGGCAGACAGAGAAAAGCAAAATCCCCAGATGCCCTTTTTCCCCAGGAAAATAACCCCCCCCAGGGCAAACCCCGGTGGAGCCATAAGGAAAGGCATCACGCCAGGATCTGTCCTCAGCAGTGACAAAGGGCTGATGCTACGGCATCCCCCAGCCGCATGGCTCCTGGCAAACGTGGTCTCCGGCAGCAGAAGGGTCAACGATGCCAGCAGATGTGCCACCCTGCCCCACGCTCCAGGCTGAGAACGGTCATTTTGGTGCACGTGTGACCGAGCTTTCGCTTTGCTTAATTGCCATCCAACCTGTGGAGGAGGATGGGGAAACTTGAAATACGTTTTCAAGCAAAAAATATCCCACAAGCCCTGACACACACAGAGGCTTATTGCAAAAGCAAGTTAATTTTTTTTTTCTCCTTTCTTCCTTTTTTTCCCCCCCAACCTCCTGCCTGTTCTTTCTGCTGCTAATAGTTTTTCTGGGACAAATTTAGGCCTGGGCCACGTCCTGCTCATGTTTGGAAAGTCTGAGCAGTCTTGTCAGCGCTGCCAGGAGCGAGGAGAAAGGGCAGACGGCCCATGGCAGTTTTAAACTTAAAAAAAAAAAAAAAAAAAGAAAAGAAAAGAAAAAGGAGCCAAATGCCAAAGAAAACCCCAGATCTTGCCGAGATTTTGGAGATTGAGGGGTGGGCGGGAAGGCGGGGGGGTGGATCCCCCAAAGGACTGTTTAAATCGAGCCGAGCTCCTCCGGGAGAAGCCTGCAACTCACCTCGTCTCGTCCCTCCTCCGGCAGAGAAGGGGCCGCTGCTTTTCTCCCTGCCACGAGCCCCTGCGGCGCAGCGTTGCGGCGAGGGGGCTGCGTCCGCCCGGAGAGCGCGAACACGCTCCTGCTGCTGTCCTGCAGGGGGAAAAAACAGCTTGTTAGGGGCCCGTTTGGTAAATGCAGAGTGTTTTCCTATAGGTGACATCACGGCCCCTGCCGCGGCAACACCGTTTCGGCTGAGCTTTGCCAGGAGGCAGCCCGGGAAGCGGTTGCACGTATTTTGGAGGAACGCCGTCGGTTCGCCGGGCTGCTGTGAAGGTGAAGAGGTGGCTGGGGCACGGTCCGTAATTACCTATGCAAGGAGCAGCCGGCGAACGCTGAAGGGCTTTTTAATTAGCAGCCAAAGGCAAAGCGGGATTCGACAGCAGGGAAGCTGAAGTCAGCAAAGTCAAGGTGGAAATAAGAGGCCAGCTTTTACCAGCGAGGGTAATTAAGTGCCGGCAGAGCGCAGCACGAGGTGTGAGGAATTGCCGTCATTCAAGGACCTTAAAGGAAGGAGAGGAGTTTCTCCTGCAGACTTGCTCTCCCTCCATCCCTGCTCCGGCACCGCTTACCGCTGGGTCCCGGCATCCCAGTGCGGGAGCACCCCTGCTTGTTTCTAACGAGCCAGGCAGGGAATTTAGCGGGGAAAAGGGCTGTTTTCCCACCTGACCCGAAAGCAGTTTGGCCACCCTCCTCCTGGTGCGTGCGATATCTTGTGCAAACATCCCTTTTGGCACCGCGGGTTTCTCTTGCTGGGATTTAGCAGGATTTTTCGCCTGCACGGGGCTGGCTCCTCGGGACATGGAGACGCCGGCGCTCCCACCCCGCAGGAGGAAAGCTGGGATCATCTGCTTGCTGTTTTGGGGGAAAGCTGGGCTGGAGCAGGGCTCCTTGGCTATAACATCTTCTGAGCTCCCAACACCTTCACACCAGTGACTGAGAGGTCAGGATTTAAGACAAACATGCCCTACAGCTTAATTAATTGCAAAAAAAAAAAAAAAAAATATCAGGGTGCTAGACAGAGGTGGATGGGCTAGTGAGAGGTTATCCCCCAGGAGCGGAAGGTTTGGGTGGGGGACGGCAGCAAAAAAGTCACCATTTGGGGCTGCTTGGAAAGCAGCTCTGGCTCATACCGATTCCTTGACGTGGTCTTTCCTTTCCTTTCCCAAAAATAAACAGGAACCGTCTGGAAAGCCCCTGCACGGGGAGGAGCAGAATTGCCCAGAATAAATAAATAAAGGGAGAGAGCCGGGGTTGAGTTCATCCAGCCGGTTGTGCCTCCCTGCCAAGGGTGGCAAAGAAGGATGAGGATGGAGCTCGTTCCCCAATTAGCAGGCTTTTTGGGAAAGCACTGAAATGGCTTCCTCGTGCAAGAACCACCGCGTCCTTCCTGCAGCGCACTTTCCGCTCTCCCCAAAATACCCCCCGCACGATGAGCCTTTTGACTGATTTTAGTTACAAACGGATTAAGGGAACAGAAAAAGCAAATATCTTGGGTTTATTTACAGCACAAAACTGGAAGAAGCTTTTAGCAGGCTTTTTGGGAAAGCACTGAAATGGCTTCCTCGTGCAAGAACCACCGCGTCCTTCCTGCAGCGCACTTTCCGCTCTCCCCAAAATACCCCCCGCACGATGAGCCTTTTGACTGATTTTAGTTACAAACGGATTAAGGGAACAGAAAAAGCAAATATCTTGGGTTTATTTACAGCACAAAACTGGAAGAAGCTTCCTCTTTCTGCTTTTAGGGTTATTTTTTTTAGTGCCCCAGCAGCTTTTGCCATGGTTTCCCCATTCGTTGGACTCGAAGTCTGGCAAAATGCCGCTGTCTCGGGCTGGCACGGTTTGCCACCGCGGCCTCAAGCAAGGCTCTCCAAATCAGCCCCTGCTCTCGCACAAGCGCGGGGAATAACAACACAGCAGGCGCGGAGCCGGAGTGAGCTGCAAGGCTAGCTTCATGTTCACAAATGTTATTAAGATGATGAATTAAATATGAATTTTGTTTCAGGCGTAACTTCAAAATCACCAAGAGACTCAGTGCGCTTGTGTTGCATAAACGCTTGGCGTGTTCCTTAACACGATAGTTCGACTCCCTTGGACATAGGCTTCAGGATAGGAAGGAATTAAGCGTTTATGCGGCTTGAGAAGTAGACACACATCTCCTCTGCCTTTTTTTGAAATGTATTTACACGTTTTTAGCTGACTGAGTTAGGGCTCCTGTGTGCTGGGGCATCTTCTGGGGGGCAAGTGTCGTCTCCAAGCCCACTAGCTCTGCTTATTAACCTTTCATGTCCTGATAGTGATATTTTGTGACTGACAGCTGGCAGGACAGGGCTGGAAGAAGCCGTTCGGTTCTTTTAATTACTGTTCACCATCTTCAGTTAAAAAAAAAAAAAAATTAAAAAGGGAAAAAAAAAAAAAACTGTACCAAGAGTACCGGTTTTTTTCCCT